CTATTTGTAGAAGTGTTTCCTTTGGGGCGCAGCCAGTTGCATAAAAAATTGTCGAATACGTAGTTAACCAATCAAGTCAACTGAGATTTCACTGTGGTGCGAGAGTGACTACCCAGTGAGGAAACGGAGATTCGAGTTGGTTTATCTGCTTTTGAGTCGTGTCTAACGTATGAAGTAACAGTTGCTCTGTCACCTTCATCATCATCACAGTAACTAGATCAGAATGGGACAGATTGTACATGTTTTTGATTTGAAATGAGCAATTTCTTAGGCGAAACAATCTGCGTACTGCCAACCGACCCAGACGGAAAGTGCGTATTCAATTATTGCTGAACTCAATAATTGGCCTGCGAACTTCCTCCTTAAAAACCCATGGGCTTTGTTAAGAGCCAGCGTCATTAGACTAGCACGAATGAGCAGGGAAAATAAATTACTTTCAGTCGGCCAAATGATCAGTTCCCTGAGTTTGAGCAAAACAATATCAATGAGTTCGTAGAGGGAGAAAAGTGGCGGCAACTTCTCAAAAGAACACCAAGCAGTGGGAGCATGAAAAGTGCCGCATGTGGCCTGGTGACGATAATGTGACCAGTTTGGGGTAGTGTAGAGACTAGGCGTTTAGTCGGTGCTTTTTATAGAATTCCCTTTAGAAGTCTTACTCGTTATTATTTTTCCAAGGCAAAGCCCTGTGACTGTTTGCTTACAATAACTAGAGGCATGTACAAGCATACATGACTTCTTGGCGTGCGGACTTTTTGATTGTGGTGTGTGAAGCTGTGAAGACGACTGCAGTGGAGTTTCACTTTAAGCTGTCGGTATTTTTATGGTTCCCTGTCCTCGACGCTCAAGTATTTAAGCGTGAATGCAAGTTTTGCGCCTACGTTGCTGTCGCTTCAGTTATGGGCAATCGATTGAAACACTGAAGTATGCACCGCTATTTCACTGAGGCTCTGAAACTCATTGTGCCCCAATATCAGAAATAACTAAAGAAATTTTGCAGAAGGAATGTTCGCTCAATGCACACACAGTTGTATGTTCGCGATTGCATTCGACAAGTTTGGTTAAATTTGTCGGTCTCTGACCGGCCTATCAACATGTGGCTTTACGAAGAATTCTATTTCTGTGACATCCTTATCGACGAAATCAGTTAAAAGCTGTTTGCCTAAGTCCACCGCACGTCAATGTAAAAACGGAAAAAAGGTCAGAAAATCCTAGTGCAGCCGTGTTGCAATCCATACTCAAGCTCTAGGCTGTAAGCTAACTGCCATGCTTGACATTACACTTATTCATAGAGGATATGTAAGTGCAAATTTCACCAAAAGACAAATTTCGATCGCTATTCTACTTGTGCTGTCTTTATCTATTCCGCTATTTTCATGGGCAGGCTTTCTGTACATATAAAACAAGTATACTTAACTGCAACGATTTTTGCCGTCTTCGGAATTTCCGCTTTTCTGACTAGATTGGTATTTCTGAACAATGTAGTATTAATTCTAATATTTCTTTTATGTTCTCAATTTGCTTGAAGTCGCCCATTATTTCAAAGCTCTGCTCCATTCGTTTGTGCCGATTTGAGAGAGATGAGCCGTCTTCCGTAAATTTCGGTACCTTTCATGAGATTGATCACATACTGTATATGACCAGAGTAACCAAGAATTTTTTCAGTAGTCATTACGCACGAAACTAAAGGCATTCATTCCTTTCCGGTAAAAGTGCCCTCTGTCGATGTTTAATACGTCAACCTACCAATACTACTCAATAAGTGGTAACTGAACAGTTCTACTCAGTACTTTTATATACATTACGTGACCTATCTCACGAAGCCTGATGACAGAAACCGACATGAGGATTTGCGGATGTCTTAAACGTTGCTCATTTTGCCCGCCCGTGCAGACTCTTCAGGAAGTCTTTTTCTTGTGCAGAAAATGTGTCTACGTAATCTTGTCAAAAATGTTCATAAGTTTAGGCGAAAATGGACGTTGCGATGTATTCGGGAGATTTCCTATGCTAATACCTATCGTAGACTCCGATGCGCATCGAGGCGTGTTTTTCTTTGAGAGGAGAGTGATTTATTCTCGATTTTATTACCAAACATAACTCGCCGTGATTGAAAATTGATTTTTTTTCCGATGCTTACCATGAAAATTAGTTAGCTAACACAGATAATTTCTAGAGAAACAGATGTTTTATCTATTTTTGACAGCTAGATTGGTAAATTTGTGCGAATTGGTACCCTAAGGTGCAGTAATAACTCCTATAGACAATTGCTCGTTAAATGTGCTGAAATTGTTTTGCCGTTTAGAAAATTACATGAGTTTCCACAGAAATGGCCACCACCAAATGGTCATCATCAGTTTCGGATATATGAAACCTTACTTTTCGTGCGGGTTAGCTTCTGCACATACGTAATTTAGAAATGGAACGAGCAAAGCATTACCGGTTTCAGCAGAATATCACTATTTGTGTGGCCACTCTGCCGTGCATT